ATTCTTTAAAACCCCTTTTTTGTCTACATAATAAGAATATTTCATCGATAACTCAGCAACCAACAATTCTATTACTGCACAAATAATAAACGTGGTAATTTTCCATGCAAAAGCTTTAAAATTTAACGACATTTTTTGTTGTTTCCAAAGGTCCGGCGAGTTAAGATAATAAACACTGATGAAATTAACGTACATTCCGCGACATAGAAAACGGACCACCCCAAATATTTAAAATATTTGCGAAATTATTATTTAGTGCTACAAAATTAAGCATTTATTTTTCTCGTTTAGTATAAAATTTCATCATTATCGTAAAAGATCAATCAAAAATAAAAAAATTAAGAAAAATAGAAAATTTATTAAAAAAATCAACTTATAATTTTTAAAACAACAATGAACTGTATATTAAAAAAAATCTGGTATCCATTTTCAGTAATGGGTATTGCCCCCTCGATTCTGGAGTGTATACACATAGTGTATATAAATCGAAGAATTGGAATACAAGTTACAAATGGAATACAGAACTGAATATTTTCAGTATCTAGCAGACATTCTACCGGCGGGGCATTTTATGAGTCATGGAGTTGTCTAAATAACAGAATGACTAGCTAAATGACTCGTATATGAATCATAATTATAGTACATCGTAAGTACTAAGCGTGGTGGATTTAAAGAGTATGAAGTACTGATTACTTGAGATATTTGGAATCTAGTTTTACTGACAATGTGACCCGGATATAATAGAATAAGGAATAGAAACAAAACTGTTTCTAATCCTTTGTCTGCCTTGTGGCCCCAAGGAACGCATGAAATTCATAACGTTTTGGATATCTCTTTGGGGAAAAAAAGACCCATTCCTCAATGAGTGCCATCTGAAGCTCTCCAGGTGTTGTTGGAGCAGGTATGCGACGCCTAACGTGATTTTTAGCAGGCTCCATATATGCTCAGTAGGATTTAAATCGGGGCTTTGAGCAGGTCGGTCTATTTTTAGAATACCAACCTCGTCAAGGTACTCCGTTACTATCCTTGCCGTATGTGGTCTCGCATTATCCTGTATTAGCAGGAATTCGTTGCCAATAAATCCAGCATTGGGCATCACATGATGTTGTAAGATTTCCGTTATGTACCTTACTGTTGTTAACTCACCTTTGTCGATCACGACGAGATCCGTATGCGCATCAAAAGAAATCCCTGCCCAAAACATTACTGAACTACCACCAAAGACTGCAACCAGCGAAACGTTCTCCAGCCCGTCTACACCTTACTGCTTCCGTCTTTACCACAAATAGATATTCTACACTCATCCGTAAACAATACTTTTTTCCAATCGTCTGCTGTCCAATTGATGTTCACGGGCAAATGCGAGTCTTCGTCTTTTGTGAGCTGGGGAAAATAAGGGCCCCGTTGCTGGACTGCAAGCTGTCAAATCTTGCTCCCTTAATCTTCGCCGAATAGTTTAAAGGCTGATTGCTGGTATTGAGCTTGCTGTAAATGGCATTTAAGTATTCTAGCGGTTTGGGTCCAATGCGGCAAGAATGCCGACGCGATTTTTCCTAGCGGTTGTTTTCCTTTTTGGACCCGTACCAGGTCGTCGTTGGTAAGATCCTGTCACAATAAATCGTGCTGGGTCTTTTGTACAGTCGAACGACTAACATTCAGTTGTCTTGCAACTTGTCTTTGACTTAATCCACTTCCCAGTAACGTTACAATTTCAACCGATTTTTAAAAATTCTCCATCGTTATTAACTCCAGACTACTTCACACTAAGTCGGTTACTGTAATACTGCGATGCCTTTAAAACTCATTGGAACCCTTTACACTATCATACATTTCTCAAAACAATCGCTTCCTCGAAAACTAATCAAGTTGTTAACACTTTTTCTCAAAAATGTTTTATAGGTTCTACGAATATCCTCAAACCAGTTACAGGGTCTGTTTGCTTTCGCAACAACCCATTTAACTTAAATAACCAAAGACACATTCAAAATAAAATAACATTAATTTAACATACAAAAAAATAAATGCTTAATTTTGTAGCAATAAATAATAATTTCGAAACTATTGTAAATATTTGGGGTGGCCCGTTTTCTATGACGCGGAGTGTATAGCTGGAACCTGGAAACTGTTCTGTCGAAGAAAAATAATAAATTTTAACACTTATTACAAGAAGTACCACTAAAGTTATTGTTATTCATTAGTCTGCACTCTAAAAAACACATGCGAAAACCAAAAAGGTGATTAGAAAACAAAAACAAAAAAAAAAACAGCAATGAATTAAAATTTTTTTATATAACTAAATAAAATACATTGTAATATTAGAATATAAACAGGCTTTAGGCTAGAATTCATAATTTAATTTATATTAATTGAAAAAAATCGGATGAAATTCGCTTGTGAATAAAGGAACCAAATCATTACTGACACCAAAACCCTTGTAGATTTGCGAAAATTCTATAAATACCTAAATTAAACAATACTATACATAAATTAAATCAAAAACTTGATAATTCATGGATCCTTTATGAACAAGATATGAGCGGAATGTACGAAAAATTTTTGAGCTGTTTTATAATTTTCACTTAAAGTCGACAAATCAGAAATAAGCATTAAATCAAGTAATATTAATAATAAAATGTTATTATTATAAACATTTGAGTATTCGTCTTGCTTCTCTTCTAATTGGACTACAACTTAGCAAAAGGAAGCTAAATTTGAAGATATGTATGCATTTAGAAGCCGATTTGCTTTTATAGCGATGCTCTAAAACTATTGTTTGAGCTGGAATGCTGAAACGTAGGACTATTCTTAAAGGCCTCAATTAAAAAAACTGTGCAAAATAAAGGTGAACATTCTTGGTTTTATAGTTATGAAGTCAAAGAGACTAGGAATGACGTCGAAGTTTACCATGTGTAGCAATACTACATTCAAAACCAAAAGAAGCTTGGGTTTACACCCATTGGTGGATGTGTAGTGACGTCGCAGTTTGTCATTGGTTAGAAATTACTGTCTAACCAATGACAAACTGCGACGTCACGAAACACCCACCGATGGGTGTGAACTCGAGATAATCTTGGTTTTGAATGTAGTATAGTATAACTACTGCAGACTGTGCAAAACAGTTCAAGGTTCTCACTGCGATAGAAAACTGCATCGACAATTCCACATATCACTGATGTACTAGAAAATGCCAAGCTAATAGTACAGAAGCGATTCGTGTTGAAAATAACAATTATTCAAGCAACATAAACAAGATGCTTCAACCGAGACCTGTGAATGGGTAATGGTTGAACATGTATGATAGTGTCTGCCAACAGTTTCTACTACATGTGAATATTAAATACCAAGACGACACTGACATGATATGAAAATTTAAAAGAAACAAGCCTTAACCTGTCGGGTTAAGACATTTTTTAGTACCTGTCCCTTCAGGAGTTCTTGGAATCAATTCTAGCATTACCATAAACATGAAAGTCCTCGAATTAGTTAAAAAAATGCAATGTTTCTCAAAAAGTTTTCGTAATTTCCCGTGTTTTACAAGGAATTCGCTAATGTATAAAATGTACAATATACAAAATAATGAACCGATAAATATTTTTTAAAGGAAGTATCTCTCGGCCTATGGCAGTACTGATCCTACACATATTGCAGTTCTTAGAGATCTGACACCTCTTTTTAATTTGCAAAAACAAAGCTAATACGGAAATCTAAGCACCAATCATTTTTTTGCATATTTTTTTACTTTACGCCAGTTTCTAGACTTTACTAGTACTACAAGTAGAAAAAATGTGACGAATTCATTTGATAAAAAATCTGTTCGAATGATATACACAGAAGGTTAAAATCTTTTTATAGTTAAAAGATTTATTTTCTATATATTATTCAATGAAAACTTTGTAGTTGAGCATTGTTTGGATTAATCACAGATGCTTAAAAGCGTAGGCACTACAATCGTTTTACAAAAACTACGTTTGAAATAATTTAACAACAAAAATCTACATAAAACGACTAGGTAAAAATGATCTAAATGAAACACTGCTCCGATAAATGATCTATAAAAATTATGACGCAATTGACAACTCCTTACTACTTGTTGCTTAGTTCACAAACGATAAAATTGTTGTAATTAAGGCAGATGAGGCTAAGCAGTTGTCTAATAGGTACAATATTTTCTATTCTTACAGAAGACCATTGTAACATGCGAATAATTTTTGTATTGAATACTTTTTCATTACTTGTATATTCTTGGGCAAGTTTTGCAGTTCAAATTTGCAAGATTAAAATTATTAATTCACAATATATTACTTATTTGAAAGACATTTATTTATATTTTTTAATATCCTAACTAAAAACGCGCTATTTCTGGTATAACAACCTTATAAGCTTGGTTCCTTAGGTCACAGCATAGCTTTTATATTTTGTGACATTTGACACATTAATGACACGCGTCTTAAATGCCGACCGTTGCGCATGTTCACTTTATACGTCAAAATTTTTCGCAAGAATCATTTCTTACGGTTTAAAAATTGCAGACATCTCAAAATTGTGCATGTGCTATAAGTAAAAAAATTGTGACAGACGCGACATTATGAATCTGCAATTTTTTGTACGGAAGAAGTAATTCTCAAATGTCACAAATCGAAATTATAGAAGCACATCAACAATTTACATATTTAGCATGACAAGACGAAATCACATTGGTTCTGTTTAAAGTAGCAAATATTCCTAAGATATCAAACTTTTTTTTTTAAATCGTGAATGCTTCTTTAATTTCTAGAATATTTTTTATCAAACGACTAAAAAATTGCACTTAATATCTAGAAAATGGCATTTCTATCTATATCGCTCAAACAAAAACAAAAATAATTGATAACATCTCCTCGACTATGGTATAAAAATTAAGTGATTTTTATATTCCTATCCGTTTCGTGGAATGCAAGAACTAGACGGGAATGTGTTAGTGGAAAGGCCGGCCTTTTCTCGGTGTTATGGGATATTATTTTTTACATATTTTGGATATCATGCAAGGTGGCTTCCATCTCGTCAGCGAGCATTTTGTTCTTTTCTTTTTCCAGCAAAAGGTCGTCTGCAAGGATAGGGTTATTATGCAAAACAAAAATCACAACACTTTTGACATTTACCTAATTCCAACAAAGACTTATAAAGACCTCATAAAATAATCAAAAAGATTTACTAAATTTGTTTTATTTAAGTACTAACTTAATTATCTGGTTTTAATGAAATATTAACAAGATTCTAAGTATTATATGATTAAAAGGGGGAGTATGCAGCCTTCTGTTACGCCTTATTACTATACATACATTTTTATCATCAGTATTTTCAGAATTTTAAGTAGTGTATCATGTCATACCTCACCAACAACATCATGGCTGGCATATTGACATTTCTGTGTAAATCTCTCCCATCGCTCTATCGTGCAATGGGATATTAGACGCATTTTTGCGTACTTTGGACAATAATGAAAGGTGGCTAGATCAACGCACCTATATACCCGGAAGAAAATTCCAAATAATGTCTAGAACCATACATATTATGTGAATACAACAAAAAACACCATTCATTAATAGAAAATATTGAAGAACACTGTATAAGGTGGCGCAAACACAATAGTATTGATAATATATATGATTTGATAGAGGACAATTTATTGATCAGAGCTTGGAGCAGGCAACAGACCTAACTAACCTAAGTCTCTAACAGACGCAAGAAGGAGAAGTAGACCCCCAACTCGTGACGATTTAAAAACAGTAGTGAGACAGTGGATTAAAACAGCTTAAATCAGAGCTAAGAGAAGAAGCCCCTATATGAACCCGATACCAGACTGGGAAATGATGATACTGATATGAAGTTGGTGGTATAATACAAAAATATATTGAAAACTTCTTTAGGAATAGGTTCATAAGTTGATTTTTCGACATGTATTCCATGTCTTTATCAACACTATATCTAAAATTGATCGATTATTTTTATTTATAAAAATCTTACCATAAAACGTAAATGCGTTTATTCGGGGTAAAACTCAATAAAGCTATTAAGGTATATAATACAAGGGCCGGCATAAAGTCAGGCAACAAATTTACTTTAAGAGAAAAAAGGGGTCGTTAAAATGAATTTATTCAAATTGTTTTAACAACTATTTATTGAATTGTACTCCAAATAGACTAATTAACGTTTTATAGTAAGATTTTTATAAACACTGATAAAAATAATCGATAAAGAAGTAAAAAAAGATCGTAAAGAGTCCCAAAGCCAATGATGGGCTAACAATACCACAAGTACTATAGTAAAATAGCATACGGAATAGCAATTCGGGAAGAAAGGGCTAGCAAAACTAAAATAAACACTTCATAGATCTATGAAATAAGATTTATAGTCATCAAAGGAATTATTTTCGTTGAAAACTAAATTTTAATTTTTTATAATCACGAATAAGCGCAAAAATCTTATTTTATGTGTAACAAAAATATTTATAGTCAATAATAGTATTGATTGAAATTATAATCATTATTTTTTGGTGGAATTAGGTACATATCTTATTAATAAAAAAAAATAAAAAATAATCAAAACAAAAAACTAAAAACTTATTAGCTGCATTTTAGTGTGACTAATAACTGTGAATGAACATGATAGTTGAACACTAAATGAAAGTTTCAAACAAATCATACCTTCTAGTCTGTCGACCTCCTTCTGGAGTTTCTGTACTGAACGTTCTGCAAATTCAGCTCTTGCTTCAGCCTAAACGAAGAAAAACATAATTTTAAGTCATAAATTCGTGTGTACAGAACAAATACCGTGACGATACCTTAAATTGGATATTTTTATTAAGGTATTGTCACGTTTGAAGCAGTTTAATATATTAGTTAATTTTTTACCAACTATAAAAAATGCAGGAACTGTTTAATTGGCGTATATTCATCAACAACACTTTTATCTTTTGTAATTAAAGATCTTTAATGACAAATGATTGTTGTTAAACTATTCTTGAGCATAGTTTCATTTGCATATACAATCAATCTACTAAAAGTTAAACATTTTAGTACGTACTAATTGCTATTCTATGCATTCCAGCGCACCTAATCTACCAGGTAATGAGTCACCAAAGGGAATGTGTAACTTTCAAACGATGTAGAAGTGCTATGGAGATGAATACATGAGACGACCTTGTATCACAACATCGAAAAATATCGAACGTGTGATACTTGAATTTGACGTTCGGTAATTTGAGAATGACTCATTTGTGCCACATTCATTTCACAATTGCTCCTGATAGAGGAGAAAAAACTTTGGATATTAGCCGTTCTGGACAACTTGGAAAAGGGCGTTACTGTCAAAAATACTAAAAACATCATTACCGGTAATTAGTCATTGGTTTCTGGTTGTGAGTATAAAACCGAAACAACAGTTGTCGCTACAGAAGCTTCCATTCGAGCGTCTATGTTATTTTGTTTATTATTATTTATATATATATATATATATATATATATATATATATATATATATATATATATATATATATATATATATATATATAGTACAGGTTGTTTACAACTGTCGTTGTTTTCCTGTCCCTAGTTTCCATCGTTTTCTATCTCAGGTGTCGGCTTCATTTAGCTGTCTTCCTTCCATGGCTTCATTCGCGTCATCTCGCCAGCTTCTTCTTGGACGCCCTCTTTTCCTTCTTTCGGTTGGGATCCATTTTAATATTTTCTTTGGCCACCTCTCGTCTGCCATTCTGTTTACATGACCGAACCAAGTTAGTTGTTTTTTCTAGACTTCATCTATAATGTCTTTTTCTTGCTCCATTCTACGTTTTATTTCTTCATTGCGGATTCTGTCCATCCTTGTCAATCTACAGCTTCTTCTCATAAAATCCATCTCGGTAGCTTGTAAATTTTTCCTGTTTCTTTTACTAATGTCCCATATCTCTGCTCCGTATGTTACCACCGGCTCATTCGTTTTTTCGTCGTTCTTGTGATTTTTTTATCCCAGAGAATGGAGTTTAGGCATTTGGTAATTTTTCTGCCTTTGTTTATTCTTGTATTTATTTCTTCATGGCTATTTCCGTCTTTTGTAAACACTACTCCTAGGTATTTTACTCTATTTGTTCCTTTGATTTTGTCACTCTCCAATGTCAGGTCTTCGACTGTATTTTTCCCCACTGAGAGATATTCGCATTTTTGTAAGTTCATTGTCAATCCACATTCTTCGTACGCTGTTTGTAGTTTCCTAACCATATAGCTGAGATCGTCTATATCTTCTGCTACCACCAGTTGGTCATCAGCGAAGAATAGTGTAATAGAGAATATCCTCGTTTATTTGTATTCCCATATTTCTGCATTGTCTTTGTCACTTTTGTAGAGATCGATCCAGATATATTTCGAACAGCGTACGTGATAAACAACATCCCTGTCGTAGCCCTTTCGTAGTGTTGAATTTCTCACTAAGTTTGCCACCTATTTTAATTGATGCGGTGTTGTTTACATACCACTTTTGAGTTGCTATTATTAACGAAGGTTTTATTTCCATGTTTTGCATTTCACTCCATAAATTATTTATCGGCACGTTATCATATGCCTTTTCAAGATCTATCAGGGCTATGTGTATTTCTTTTTTGTCGCTTTTCGATTAATATTTTAAGTGTAAATAGATTATCTATAGTCGATCTTCCAGCTCTGAATCCGCATTGTTCTTCTGGTTGTTTCATACGAATGTCTTCTTCTATGAGGTTTCTAAGTATTCGGGAGTACAGTCGTCCTATAGTGGGGATGACAGCAATTCCTCTATAGTTTCTGACATTGTTTCGTGCTCCTTTTTTGTATATTGGGGTTATATAGGCCTCACGCCATTCTAACGGGGTCTCTTCTCCATTCAGGCATCGTTGGAACAGATCTTTGAGCATTTCCCACAGTTTAGCTGAGCCGTATTTAATAAATTCTGGTGAGATGTTTCCTGGGCCTGGCGCTTTTTCAAGTTTAAAAGATCTTATCGCTTCTACGATATTTGTCATGTTCAATTCAATGAATTCTGATCGTATGTCTCTGTTTGCATTTTCGTATTGAAAATTTTGTCGTCCTTCTTGTAGTAACTGTTTAAAGTAGTCTACCCAGTCTTTTTCTGTTATGTTACTTAAATCTAATTTATTGTTGGTTGACGTTTTCATAGATTTTAGCGTTCCCCAGGCTTCTGAACTTTTCGATCCTCCAATCATTTGTTCTATGTATTCGCATTTCTTTTCACAAGATCTATTTTTCCTTTTTGTTACTTCCGTCTTCACCAGTTTATTTAGGTTTTTATGTTTATTATTAAGAAGTTAATACGAGCGACATCATCATGATGAAGAAATCATCATCGTGATAATGTACCAACACATTTACAAAACGTGTGCAAAAATTTTTGACAAAACACAAGCTTACACAACTCCACTTGTATCCTCACAACCCCGATATAGCATCATTGAAAATTGGCACTAAAGCCAACTTTCAACGACATCATCTTCTTCTTCAAGTGCCATCCCCGCGGCGGAGGTCGGCAATCATCATAGCTTCTACTTCTTTATTTATCCTTCTAAGAACCTCTCAACGATATAGAGACGCTCAAATAAATGTAACGATGTCACTTTTGACTTTAATACAAAAGCGAAATTTCAAAACTAATTCAATGACTTTAGGACGAAATTGTTTTAAGTCTGACGGAAATTACTTCGAATAGTGCCACGAGCTGGATGATAAAGAATAAAATAAAGCATTTGAGAATTTAACGAAGATCGGATATTTTTTTAGGACATATTTCGTATGAGCCTTCATAATTAATTCGTTACACAGATATAGACAAAAAATCATAATTTGTATCGAGAATCTTGTACTTCGTAGTAAGCGGTATTTTACACCATTAATCTTCTATTTTTTTTTTCCAGTTGTTGCTGATTCCAGAATGACTACACAACTAACACGTTTTTCAGACATTTCCAAAGTCTAATCTGTTTCATACTAAACAAAATTACTTGAAGTCCATACCGGCGTTCCTACAATTTCCTCCTTTAGTTTTCTTATTAAAGAAATTTACGAAAGAGACACATTAACAATGAGATTAAGTCAAGAATTTAGAATCAAGAATTTTTATTATAATAAGCCAGTGTAACAGCAATAATGACATATGCCTCAGAAGCAAGACCCGACAAGGCCACAATACAAAGGCTACTGGAAACGACAGAGATGAGAGTACCGAGAAGAATTACAGGAAATAGGCTGAGAGATCGAAAGAGAAGACTTTAGAAAAAAATATAACGTACAGTGAATAAATGAATGGACACAAAATAGAAAAACAGAATAGAATAATCACATAAGCAGAATGGAGGAGACCCATGTCGTTCAAATAGCAAGACATAAGTCAACAATCGGCAGGTCAAGTATCGGATGACCGCGCAAAAGATGGAGTGATAACCTTACATAAAGGTATTAATTCGCGAATGAACAATCAGAATTGCTTATAAAGAAGCAGAAGTTTTCTTATTACAAATTGAAGCTGAAGAAATGTGAATGCACATAGAAAAATTGTTCTTGTTTAGTTAGTTTGATTTTCGTAAATATTTCCGTGCTAAGAAAGGCACTTTTGATGATTAAACTGTTTGATACTAGGTCCTCGGTGTCCTCTTTTGGTTGATTTGGATTAGACAGGTCCCAATTTATGTAGCAGGAGATGCTCCTCAAGGTCTTTCCTGTACAGTGAGCTTCGTTTATGTCTAAAACTACTGGAATTGTTTTTATTACTTCTATGACATTTGTACTACTCATTATTTGGTCATTTCTCCAACATTCTGCAAAATAGCTTGCGATTAATGTACTTAACCATTGTTTTGTATGCATTCTTAAGCAATTAGTTTAAGCATTTGCATGCCGTTCTTTGCATTTTATTACAAGATATTTATGTGTGCTATAACTTCTTCTAATATTAAATCTGAACTTGTTTGTCCCACTTTTAGATCTTCGGGTTTTGTCTTACTTGTAATGAGGTCTTATTTGGAATATTATAACCAGTAGGTAGCAGGTCGTCTTCAAATGAAGTATACAAACAGTTCTTTGTAGCAGTACACGAGGGAAGCAGCAGCCTTGTGTAAGGTCAATGTCTATATCAGTCACTGCTCAAAATTTTATTTTTATTCTGTTTATCTCCAAAGTGTTTTTTCTTGTGCTTGCTGTATCCAGTTTTTTGTTGTCTTTCGTAAGTCGTCTTGCCATCGTGTTGGTGATCTTTCTCTGCTACGTTTATCGGCTATTGGTCTCCATTCAACTAATTTGCGAGTCCATCCTCCGTCCTTCATTCTGGCAACGTATCCAGCACATTTCCATTCTAAGTTACAGCTTTTTTCAATGACGTCTATGACTTTGGTCTTAGCTCGTAGATCTTCGTTTCTAATCCTGTCTCGCAGAGTGGCCCATATCATTGATCGCTCTGTTCTTCTCTACGCTATTTGCTGCTGCTTATTTCTATCAGCGCAGTAATATTTAAGAAATTTTCTTATAGAGGGTGGAATATTACACACTAAAACGCATGAATATGCTGTTCTCTCTGCCTACGAGTTTGTGCTCAGGTCAGAATAAGACAGGATTCGCCCTACAGTGGAGCTCATTAGATGGTGGTAGGTCAAAGACAAATTAGGAGACGGCAAGGTGGACCCCTTAACCAAATTAACAACTAGGGGTACTTAGATGTCATCTACCTTTGATGGCAGAAAATAT